TGACCCCTCTGTCTGTATGTCAGCCACAAGATGCATATGTGTTCTGAGTGAATGGGCCTTGGAAATGGGCCAGAAGCAGCCAGGATTGCCCAGGACCTGCCCAGCAGGTGCCGGGGCAAGCCCTTCTCTCTGGGCCTCGGTTTCCCTATGTGCACAGACAACTGGTACAGGCAATTTGTGAACCTGACCAAACCAGCTTGTCTGTCCCCTCCCCTGAGGACAAGGGCAGCTGCTTTAGTTGAGAAGGAGCTCTGATGGGACAATGAGGCTGCTGTGCCAGAAAACAGGGACTGCCATAATCCTGCCCCTCCAGGCAGCCCCCAGCCCAAGGGTCCAGCCCACTGTGGGTCCAGTGGTCAGGGGTGGCCATGAGCTTATGGGTGGGAGGGCGTCATCCGAGCCTCAAGAGCAATCAGGGCCAATCAATCCCTCCTCCCAGGAAATTAGGGGGCTGGAAGAGGGCCCACTGACACAGACGGTTTATATGTAGGTGTTGGGAGAAGGCAGGGAGGAGCAAGGGCAAGGAGACTTGCCCTTGGACTGGGAGATGGAGAGGACTGGCTCAAGTTCAGGGCCTCCCCAGGCACCCTGTGTGACCTTGAAAAAGGACCTCTCCTCTCAGAGTCTCGCTTCATCCTCTGTATGGGGAGTGGTTGGACCCTACCACGTCTAACAGGCTTTCCATGGTGGTGCTGGCTGGGTGGGACGTGGGGGGGGGAGTCACTGCTGCATGTCTCTGTTCAGGCACCCATTTCTGTGTGTGGGATAAACACAGGGAGGTACAGGAGTCAGGAAAGGGCTGAGTGGCTAGAAGTCTCCAGACCACATCTCAAAGGCCTCTTGCTGGCTGCGCCCTTAACCATCATCCCCTATGGCTCCTGCATCCTATAAGAGAAAGCCCACAAGCTTTAGTTCTGCCCTCAAAGCCCCTCACTCTTCTCTCTAGCCTTCTCCTTCAGGCTCCAGACCCAGCTAACACTCCAATCACACAGGGCCATTGGTTCATTCTTGCTCAGTTACATCTGCCTATAACTGAAATATTCTTCTCCCTTGTTCCTGAGAAAACTCCTACACATTCCACAAAGCACAGCCACAAAGATCCCTCCTATAGGAATTCTCCTCTATCCATCCCAGCCAGAGATCCCTTGTTCAGGTACCATCCCAGCCAGGGTACCCCAGGCATACCTCTGTTACAACATCGGAAGAATGACAGGAGCCCTGTATACAACCAAGCACCTAGTAAAAGTGAGTTTCTGAAAAGAAGCAAAGACCCACTCCTAGAAGCATCTGCAGTCAGCCTGGTACTGAGTTTATGTGCAGCTTCTGCCAGCCCCCTGAGCCTTCCCCTCTCTGACACTTCTCCATCTCGCAAAAAATAGCCCTGAGACCTAATTTCAGTTAAACCTTCAAACACGACTCTCCCCTTTCAGCTTCCCATAGAGGAATCAACTGACTGTCAAGTTTCCCAGTGCCTTTGCCACCTTCCATACCCTCGACCCTGCCAGCACTCCTCAGGATCAATGGAGGGTGCGGGTAGAGGAAGGAAGGAGGAAAGACCCAGCCCACACCAGGGAAGGCTGGCTTGGGGCACCCAAGCCCACACCAGTGGCAGGCTGAGGACTCTCCAAGCCCAGTACAGCCCGTGTCACCTCACCCCATATCCACCTGCAATTCCCCTGTGCACACAGCTAAGGGCCCCTGGTACATGCAGATCCCGTAGACCTGGCCTGTCCCACAGCCTGCAGATCCATGGCCCCACTTACTGACCCCTCCTTCCTCCTAGGAGACACCAGGTCAGAGCAGACAGACCTGGGTGTGAATCCCAGCAGCCTGAGAGCTGTAGCCATAAAGGAGCAGGAAGCCTCTTTGGTCATCTACGTCCAGTCCCCCACAGCCCTTAGGACACATGGCCCTGGGAGGAAGTTGCACAGAAGGGCAAGAAAGGTTCACATCTTGCCCAAGTCAGCTGACTCTGAAGTCCTTTCTCTTAACTACTGCACCAGAACATTTAAGCACCTGCTGTATGCCCAAGCCACATCCTGCCTTACAAGGTCCATTTCCTTAATGTCACAAAAGAGAAAACTGAGGCTCTCCCAAAGTCTCCACAGGACAGAGACAGGACTAACCCTGAGTCAAATGACTCACAACAGAGTCACAGCAGGGCTGAGGGGCGGGGGAGGTGTCTCAGACTTGATTAATTGCTCCCTGCAAGGTGGTAGCTTCCCCTCCCCACCCCATGGAAGACCTCAGATCCCCCTAGGGGCATCTCTGTGAGAGATGGTGACGGCCCATCACCTGGGCTTGCAATGGCAGTGGCAGGGACTCAGCACACCCTGTGGTGTCTCCCCCGCCTCCCCCAGGCAACACTGTGTTCCCCAAGCTCCCTCCAGGTCTACATGGAACAGCTGTCAGCAGGGCATGAGGATGCGGCTGTCAGAGCTCAGGAGCCAGCGTGTGCTCAAGGCTGGGGCTGGTGGTGTGGAGGGGGCCATGGCCGCACAGGTCTGTCCCCAGAGTGTGTCCTCTGCCCTCTACCCCAGCCCACGCAGATCTTCACTGGTCTGGAGCCAAGAAGGGAAACAGGATTTGAATGATTGTGTGGCCGTCATCTGTTAAACACTTACTATGAACGGACCCGAGCTGGACATCATAGGACCCTCCATCACGGTCCTTCAAGGCAGGGCTGTTACTCCCCCGTTTTACTGATGAGGCCACAAGGCTCAGAGAGGCTGAGTGACTAATGTGGCCATGAAGAGCCACACAGAAGAGCTAGAATTTGAACCCAGATCCCCATGACTGAGCACTCCAGTCCCCAGGTCTGAGCACCCAGTACAGAATGGAGTCTCCACTCGTACCCTTTTCCTTAATGGTGGCACACAGAAAAAGGACCAAGATGCCCCGAGAACAACACAACACTGAAGTGTCCAACAGTCCTGGTATTTGTGTCTGTCTGTCACTGGGTATTGTGTGACACCAGGAAAACTGCCCTACCTCTCTGAGCTTCAGTTTCCTCATCTGTGAAATGGCAATCCTTAAAGTACCCCACAGCATTTCCATGAAGAGTGGGAAAAAAGTCCACCCCCAACCATGGTCTCTGCCCTGCAGACCCCAATCAGGCAGGTGGGCTGTGAGTTGATTCTGAGGCACTCAAGGTACACAGACTATGATCTGAGCCTGATCCACAGGTGGCTTCCGCCCCAGGAAACAGAATGAGACACCATCACAGGAAAAATGCCAAGCCCAGCTGACAATTACTGAGCTGCAAATTACAACATCTTCGAGGTAGGATGGTACACAGCAGACAGATGAGACTGGCAGGGACTGGAGCCAGCAGAGAATCAAGGCCAAGGTCCTCCTCCTCCCTGCCCCAAGAAGCCCAGTGCCTGCCTGGGCTCAATCATGCATGGCCACCACTTATTAACAGTTGGAGCTTGGGCAAGTGACTATCCCTCTGAGCCTCACTTTTCTCCCCTGGAGAGTGGAGTGCCCAACATATCAGTTGTCTGAAGGATTGAGAGAGATCACAAAGGTAGTACAGTGCACACAGTAGGTGCTCAATCAATGCAGGTGACTACATGAGTCATCTTGGACCCCAGCACTTATAAGCAAAGCTTTTTTTTTTTTTTAGTGCCAAAATGACAGGCAAGAGGATGAAGAATACTGGGAAACCCCTATACACTTCTCCCGACCTACCCTCACCACCTACCTGTTCCTCCAGACCCCCGAGCACCAGGCCCAGGCAGCAGGTGGACACTCCACATACCCCAGGGTCAAGTGTAGCCACATCTACCTGCTACTCCTCCCTACTCTTGCCTAGCCCCCACCCCTACTCTTGCCTAGCCAATTCCTGCTGACCTTCCAGGGCCAGAGGCACCTCTCCCACCCACCAGGGACAGTCAGTCACTCTCAGCTACCCTGAGCTGGGACAGACAGGCTTGTGCTCTCTCTGTTCTCTCTGCTCACTTGCCACAGAACTGGCTCCTCATCCACTGAGCCTCATCTCATCCATCACTTCTCAACCACATCACTTTAAAGAAGCCCTTCTCCACCATCACAGCAGCCCTTAGTATCAACCTCAGAGCAGATCCAGGGCCTTGTCACCTGTGTTCCACTGACCAACATCCCCCTCTCAACCCACGTCCAGACAGAATGACGCCTGCATGAAGCAAGCACACTGTGAAATTTCCTGAGAGAACGAGTGGCTGACTAAATGATCAAAGTTCCATTTCTGATCCGGACCTGAGCTCCCAGAAGGAAGACAGTGTGTCTACTACTTCTCTGTGTGTTGGTGCCTGCCACAGCACCGGATGGAGGGACACAGAAGTGCTTGCTGAACGAGGAGTGTGTGTGTGTGTGTGTGTGTGTGTGTGTGCGCGCGCACATACATGTGCATGTATGTGTGCATACATAGGGTGTGGCAGTCAGATGGTAAGGGTCACTACATTCTGTTTCCATATAGTCATTTAGGATTGCAATTTTTTTTTAAAAGTACATATACAAATTGCCCAAATTCAATAGTTATAGTATATATGCTGTGTTTGTCAATTCTTAAGCCTCATCAATTGGAGAATACAGAATTATTTTATTTCCCACCAAGACAGAATTAAATTAGGGCACGCCAAGGACTGTTCCAGGAGAGACATTAAAATACAGAAACAAAAACTGTGCATCTTAAGGGTGGAGGAAGAGCAGTGTATGCATGTGTGCACACCTGGGTACACTAATTTAACCCAGCCTCTTCTCTTCCCAGACCTGGTGGCCTTTAGGACTGTCCTCCACCTGTCCCATCTCTTAAAGGATGGGACCCATGGCGGGAGGGGGAGAACATGTAGGGCTGAGCCACAGAGAAGGGAGCTGCCGAGGGATTGGATACCTAGAGCAAGGAGGCTGGGTGCTCTCCCGGTCCATGAGGCTCCAGAAAGGGGGCCGCGGGTCACAAAGCAGCACCCCGGGTGAGGTGGTGATGGTGGTGGCGGTGGTGGTGACGCAGAGATAGTTACCGTGACCCGGAACGGTGTAGCAGCGGAGGGCTCCATGCTGGGGCTCTTCTCTGAGAGGCTGCCGGCAGGCTGCGCCGGGAGCCCGGTCTTTCTTGGGGTGACTCTGTCAAGACAGGGAGAGAAAGAGTGAGACAATTCAATAGCTCTGATAGAGATGCCATCACCCTCCTATCACCCCATCCAGGCCAGGACAACATACAATCTGGTCCCTATAAAATGGTGCAGCTGTCGGGGAAAAGTGTTGCAGCCACCTCCAAAATTAACGGTAGAATACCCATGTCCTAGCCATCCCACTCCTATGCATATACCCTAAAGAAGTGAAAACAGTGACTCAGACATACAATTCAAGTGTCATCATACACAGCATTGTGTACACATGCAAAGGATTGTCACCAGCACATGTGACAATGTGGATGAACCTTGAAAACATCATGCTGGTGGCATAAACAATGACAAAATTGTAAGATTACACCTATAGGAAGTTTCTAGACTAGTCAAATCCATAAAGACAGAATGCAGATTACCAGGGGTGGTGGAGAGGGGCAAAAGGAAGTTATTGCTGAATAGCACAGTTTCCCTTTGGGAAAAGGGAAAAGTTTAAAAAAAAAAATGGATAGTAAGGATGGTCACATAACATTGTAAATGTACCTAAATGCCAAATTTTCTGTATTTACCACGATTTTTTTTAAAAAAGCTCCCCAAAGTCTGCACTTGAAGCCCACAGTCTCATGATGCAGTGAGCGCCCCCCTCCCCCCACCACTGGAGGTATGTAACAGCTGGATAACTGAGCCCTGTCCTGGGATGCCACACTGGATGGGAGCTTCGAGGCCCTCCCAGGTCCCTTTGGTCATGAGAATCCATGACCTCTGACTTCCAATCCATACCTTGTTGTCCAGAAGCGTTAAGTCTAGGAGACCTGCAGAGGCTTTAAGCCGGGGAGAGGGCTGGCTCAAGTGGTAAAGCGCCTGCCCAGCAAGCATGAAGCCCAGAGCTGTGGGAGACCTTCAGAGGCCTGGCAGGTACTTGAACCATGGAAAGTAGCCAAATGCCCAGCTTCAGCTGGAGGCTGGGGAAGATGGCAGGGGGACAGGGGACAGGGCAGTGTGGCCACAACTTCCCATAGTTTTTTAAGATATGAAACATTTATATTCGGAAATAGTGACGGCTAATGCAAAACTTTAACCTGAGTCAGTCCAACCCGGCCACTTCCTTGCAGGTTCCCCAGACCATGCTTGCTACCTTTTTTCTGCTGAATGGGTAGTGCCCTCAGAGGACTCCCCACGGGGCTCTCCACCAGCCTAACTAGTAGGAGGAGGAGACCCTTGCTGGCCCTCTGCCTTTGGCCTTGGCCTCTTCTGGCTCCTTAGCAATAGCTGGACCTGAGTCTCTCCCGTCAAAGCTGTCATTTCCAGAGAGAGAGAGAACTCCTGATGCCCACGCCACACCTGAGCTGGCTGCATCGCTACAACCCCAGTGCCCTGCACACAGTCTGGTGCATGGAGACACTTGAGAAAGACCTGTTGACTCACAGGGAGAAAAGGGACAGAGCAGAGATTTCCCCAGGACATGGTGACACATGGGTGCAGAGTGAGAGGTGCTGCACGCACGTTCACCTTCAAGCAGATGCTCCATGTACACCCCAGACCACTGCAGGTGCCTACGGAGTGAGGATGTGAGCAGCCACGGGATGGAGGACACAGGCGCTCATAGGAGAGGGTTCCTGAAAGGCAGGACTCTCCCTCGCACTTTCCACTCCATTCTGTGCAGATAGTCAATTGGACAAAGTTGGACAAAGGTCCCCAGAAGCATGGAGGAACAGACCTGAGCCCCTCACCAAACAAAGACAGGCTCCAGTCCTCAGCACTGGCTAAGAGCCAGGCAGGCAAAGTCACCTATCCAGCCCTGGGTCACCTCCTCCACAAAAAGCCTCCTTCACAGACACTCCTCTGCAGCCCAGTGACAGCCACCTCTTAAGGCCCTGGCTGCTCCCTTGCTGTGTTTTCCTGCTTAGAGCTTTCCTCCCCTCTCCTCCACCGTGTCTGCTAGTCACACTCGACAGACACCTACTCTTTTTGGAGGTTTCCCTAGGAAATCTCTTCCCACGCACCCCCATCTGCCTTCATCTCTCCTCCCCCAACCTTCCCCCAGCACCCACATGTGCTCTGTAACAGTGCACATCACCACCTCGAGGTGTCCCCTAGTGCTCTGTGACAGAAGAAGTCACCCCACCTCTGAGTCCTATCCATGTGCAAGGCACTGTGCCCGGTCAAGCAGGAGTTGTTATTTCTATTTTACCAGGGCAGAAAATGAAGTTCAGACTACAGCCACTAGTTAAGATCACACGGCTAGTAAGTCCATGGCTCCTGAGGTACTGAGACCCCAGGTTTAAATGTCCAGCCAAGGGATCAACACATAACCGTCACTCACCCCTCAGTCTGGGATGCACAACTCAGCCAGAGGCAGACCTGGGCCAGCCTCCTCTTCAGGGAAAAGAAAAAGGCTCCAAGTGGGCACCACACAAGGTCAGGCACAGACAGACCCAGAGTAGCCTGCTTCTATTGCCCTGGGTGCCCTCAGAGAGGCTGACTGCCTCACACAGGCACCTAGAGACATTCTGTGGCACTGGCACCCCACAAATTGCTTCCCTCGCCAACCAATTTTACTGTGCCTGCCATGGGGTGGGAATGTTCACTCCCACACCTTTACCCAGGAAGTCCTCTCTCCCTCATGAATGGCCTGGATTGCCTCCAGTGAACATGGTTCAGCCTTGGGGAAATGACCCTCTCCACAGACTGTGGAACCAAGACTGGTGATTGCAAGGTTCCTCCCAGAATCCTGCCTCTTGGTTCTCAGCCAGGAGATTCTCAAAGTTACCTGGTCCAATCTCCCATTTTACAAATGATAAAATGATAAAACCGAGGCCAGAGGGGAAGCAGCTTCTCCAATATTCCCAAAGCCAACAGATCAGTATCAATGAGTCTCTTGGATGCTCCCAAATAGCTTTCAACTTGCATTCAGAAGCCCTGAGATCCTACACAGTGGCACACCTGTTGTCCCAGCCACTTAGAAGGCTGAGGTGGAAGATCACTTGAGCCCAGAAGTTCTGGGCCAGCCTGGGTAACATAGCTGAGAAAATGGACAGCCCAATGAGGAGGCTGTAGGGCATTTGGGATCAGAGCTGCTCTCTGGGGCAAAGTAGAGGGCTCTCCTCCCTGACTCACTGGGCCTTTGAGCCCAAGCCCAGGGCAGGGCTCTGTACTCCAACAGAACACAAAGGGAACCTTGGTACCTCCCCAGGTGGTGTCCCTTTGCCCCAGGTTCACTCTCTCCACCTGCCTCCCACTGCAGGTCCACTGCTCTGTGAACCTTGGGCTTTCGTGGGGCTTGGCCAAGGGAAACCCCTGGTGGGTCAGAGGAAAGAGAGTTCTACGGTTGGCTGCTCTTCACTGAATCATCCAATCTCCAGGCCCTTACCTTCCAGTACCATGTTCTCCACCCTGCTCCTCTTAAGGGTCTCCATGGAAGAGCCTGTGCTTCCCCATACCTGACACAACTTTGTCACAGCCCCCTACCTAGCCCCCCTCAAGTCAACCTAGTGTGTATGGCATCTGCTCCCAGCTGGGCCCCAGAATGACCCACCAGATAGGTTCTCAGCTCCCTGAGAACCACTCATGGGACTATGACACCTCCTTTACCTAGAGACAAAACCCTGAGCAGCTATGACATGCCACTGTCACGATACGGGCAGGGTCTGGGCCAGGCTGGGCTCTCTCCTGACCCAATACTCAAAACGGTTTCCAGCCTGCCACAAGCTCTAAACACAAAGTTGATAACAATAAAGAGATTTCTGGGTTCTGGGCCAATGTTTCAACCTTTTTTTCATGATCACTCCCCATAAAAGGTCTTCTTAGTCTCTGGTTTCCTAGTACCCCCCCATAAAATTTAATATCAAAGACACACGGTCTTTAAAGTACTGTATACATACCGGGCTTTATGCACAAAAATAGTACTTTTGTTTTTTTACAGCTCCCACCGAAAACGAATGTCTTGGACCATTTCAGATACAGTCCCATGTGGCACTTGACAGTCACAGTGTGCTGTTTTCTAGATGAAGTAACTGAGGTTCAGAGAGGCAAAACTGACTTCTACACATCTTCCAGGTAGAAGCAAAAGAATCTGCTGAGAGTTCCTTAAACAGCCCCCAAATCCACATTTATAGCCTCAAGGAAGAGAGGGTCTGAAACATGCAGTGCAGAGGGGACTGGATTTGAACCTGATTCTGCTGTGCAGCTCCAGGTCAACCTGTTTCAGCATCTGGGCTCCTGATTAATCATCACAGTGAGACAGAGAGTAAGAGTGATGACCACCTTCACGCCCCCACTCCCCTCCCTCAAAGTAAAAGACCTGTATTTTACACAGAAAAAGAAGGCAGGGACCTAAGTTGGCTTCTGCCTCTGGGGATTTAACTTCAGACTTAAGCACTGCCTCCTTTGACCTTTGACCTAGCGGTACAGTCTGGGAAATAGACACTAAGAGGTCTGAGCAACACAGCTGCTGCAAGCAGAATCCCAAAGAGGTTTAGGGAATCCGAAAAGATCACACAGCATGAAAGTAGCATGTCTGGGAAATGACTGTGGGAAGGGAGACCCAGCGACCTCTTTCAAGTCACCCCCCAGACCTCAGAGCACCACAGCCTTTCCTCAGCTTACACTCGTTATGTGACCTCTATATTACCTCCGGACTCTCTGAGAAACTGGACCCTGGGATCAGCTGATCCTTGATCCCTCCCTATTCCACTAAGGGACTGAACAAATCTTCATTTTACCAGTAAGACCAGGCTGTCTTCCTATTCTCGGAAGCCACTGCCAGAAAAATGCATTTTAACCTTCATTTGTTTGCAAAAAATAAATAAAGTAAAATCGGTTTCATTCAAATGCTGCTGGCTTGGTTGCCATGGATACCACCTAATCATGAAGGATGACTGTTACTTGTTGCCATGGAAACACGGCGGGCCTGAGGAACATCCTGTAATTTCAGACAAGACACCAAATTTCAGTTGTTGGGTTGCAGTGCCCAGACTTTAATGCTTGAACGCAGGTGGG